GAGTTCAGAGTGTGCTCTTCCGATCTCCCCAAAACCCCAAAACCCCATGAATCCTTCAGGAATTGATGATTAGATGATGTCAATTTTAGGTAAACAATTAATCGAATAAATTAACTTTAGAATTAAAACTCCTCATTCAATATCGTGGATTCTAAGGATATTTGACTCGTCTGGAGTTTCCTCTTGATTTCCAGTAATTGAGGCTACCTTGTTTCCTTGTTTACAGAGTCCCATTTCTTTGGCGGTCTTAATGACTAATTGAATTAGATTGTCTTATCCTTGATAGGATGGAATTTTAAAACCGAATACTCCTCTAGAAGTATTGAGTTACTTAATAACTGGCATAGATACAGAACAAGCAAGAATTGGAACAGGTGGTCTGTATTTGGCAACTTGTCTGGCAATCTTTCCAGTATCGGTAATAACGATAATTAAGTCTAATCCAAGGTCAAGAACAGTTGAGACTGCAGCTGAGGCAATTGACTCTGAGGTGGCGAATGGTTGTGGAGTGTAGATTCTTAAATCTTGGAAAAGTCTCTTGTAATCAATCATCTTCTCAGCCTCGCAGCAAATCTTAGCCATAATAGTAACAGCATTTAGTGGATAGTCGCCGTTAGCAGTTTCTCCTGAAAGCATAACACAATCAGTTCCATCAAGGACGGCGTTGGCTACATCACTAGCCTCAGCTCTGGTGGGTCTTGGAGCCTTAATCATAGACTCAAGCATTTGGGTAGCTGTTACTACTGGCTTTCCAGCAAGATTAGCTTTTTCAATCATCCATTTTTGTGCAATGAAGACTTTCTCTGGAGCGATCTCCATTCCAAGATCTCCTCTTGCTACCATGATTCCATCAGTAGCCTGGAGGATTTCGTCGTAGTTATGGAGTCCTTCTTGGTTTTCAATTTTAGCAATGATTTTAATGTGAGAACCTCTTGGTCCAAGGACATCTCTAATGGCATCAATATCAGCGGCCTTTCTAACAAAGGAGGCAGCAATGAGATCGATTCCCTTCTTAAGACCGAAATCTACAATATCATCCTCATCCTTCTCAGTTAAAGTTGGAAGATCAACAATGGCTCCTGGAAGGTTCATATTCTTTCTTTCTCCAAGTTTGGCTGAGTTTTGAACGATAACTTTAACTCCACCCTAAAGAATATTAAATAAATATTATTTACATCCACTATTTCGGTAACTTCACATGTGATAGATCCATCTGCAATAAAGATAGTTGAACCTGGTTGAACACTTTGGGGAAGTCCCTTGTAAGAACAGGCGATTCTCTTGTTGTCTCCTTCAATTGAGTAGTCTGTAACGATCAAAAGTTCTTGGCCAGAGACTAACTCAACTGGCTTGTTGTCTCTTAACATTCCAGTTCTAATTTCTGGACCCTTAGTATCCAACATGATTGCGCATGTTTTGTTTGGTCTTTGCTTAAGGGCCTCCTTGATGTTATCAACAGTTTGACCATGGGTCTATTTTGATTAACTTATCAGATTACTTTACCTTGTGATCTCCATGAGAGAAGTTAAGTCTAGCAACATCCATACCTGAATCAAGCATCTTGACGAGCATTTCAACTTCCCAGCATTGAGGTCTTTAAAAGTATGTTAACGGCTAATTTTACTTACCCCATAGTACAGATAATCTTAGTCTTTCTTTGTTTTAGATCAATTGAGTCAAAGATTTAGTCAAACTTGACTTTGGTGGAGAGGTCTCTTCTGTCCATTGTTAGTCGATATCTTTATTATGCAAATACAATTATATTTATTGAGCTGATTTAATCAATATATCTAATTAGATAAAATTTAATAGCTGATTGGCCACTAGGGGTTTTGGGGTTTTGGGGTTTTGGGG